GCACATCAAAAATCTACGTTTTCCGGAGCGAATGGAGCAATTGTTGCCTCTTGGGTCCCTCCTGGGGTCCTGGCTTGGGGTCATCTGGGGCCGACTTGGGCGCCTCTTGGGCCATCTTGGGGCTCCCTGGGCCGTCTGGGGACGCGCTTGGAGGCCTGTTGGGCCGTCCTGGGGCGGTCTTGTGGGTGTCTTCGGCCTTCTTGGAGCGTCGGCTAGCCGAGAAGGCGAGAAGGCAAGGGCGGTTTTGTGGGTGTCTTCGGCCGTCTTGGAGCTTCGGCTAGCCGAGAAGGCGAGAAGGCAAAACTCCTTCCAAAACCGTTGAACAGTTAAGGAGTCTGGCCTCTGGGGGCATGCTTCGGAGTACCGTTGGATGTTCTTGAAGGCCTCTTGGGGGCGTCTTAGGGGCCTTGTGTGGGCGTATGGGAGCCCAGGGCTCGGAATATTATGTTTTTCGTCCCGTTCTTTGACACCCTCTTGGGCCTGGCTTGGGGTCCTCTGAGGCCGGCTTGGGCGCCTCTTGGGCCATCTTGGGGCTCCCTGGGCCGTCTGGGGACGCGCTTGGAGGCCTGCTGGGTCGTCCTGGGGCGGTCTTGTGGGTCTCTTCGGCCGTCTTGGAGCGGCGGCTAGCCGAGAAGGCGAGAAGGCAAAACTCCAACAAAAACCATTGACACATTAAGGATTTTGGCCTCGGGGGGCATGTTTCGGAGTACTGTTGGAGGCTCTTGGAGGCCTCTTGGGGGGGTCTTGGGGCCTTGTGTGGGCGTATGGGGGCCCAGGGCTCGGAGTGTCAGGGTTTTGTCCCGTTCTTTGGCCCCCTCGTGGGCCTGGCTTGGGGTCCTCTGGCCTCCCTGGGCCTGTTGGGCCGTCCTGGGGCGATCTTGTGGATCTCTTCGGCAGTCTTGGAGCGGCTGCCACCGGAGAAGGCGAGAAGGCAAACCTTCATCAAAAACCATTGAAACATTGAAGATTTTGGCCTCTGGGGGCATGCTTCGGAGGACTGTTGGAGGCTCTTGGAGGCATCTTGGGCCTTGTTGGGGGCCTCTAGGGGGCCTCTTGGGCGCTCCTTGGAGCCTCTGATGGCCACTTCGGCGTGTCTTTGGGGGGAGGGCTCGGTTTGTGACGCTCGGGGGCCAGGATCTGCGTGAGGGGTGTCGAAAAATGGCTCTCCAGGGAGGGCACAATGCACGACCTTTTCGCACGCGCTTCCGTCTGCCATAGAGAAGAGACTAGAGTGCACCTGTGGACAATCCAAGGCCTGCTAATGGAATAATCGGCCTCGAACGCGCAGATGACGCCGACGCGGGCAGAAGGAGTAGATGCCGGGGCTGGAGGCTCTCTTTGGAGCTCCCTGGTAAATATCGGAGTCTCTTGGGGGTCTGTGGAACATCTTGGAGTGGTCTGGGGCCTCTGTGGGGTCTGGGGCTTTCTTTGGGGCTTCCCTGTCACCGCTGACCAGCCGCAGTGAAGGGCCGAATGATGCTGGTGTGTGGTGGGGGAGGGACAGAGGGTGAGTAGAAGGGAGTTGAGCAGCAGAAGGAGAAGGAGAGCGGCATCAGAGACAGAGAGGGGCGTGGAGACTCCCAAGGTCAATTTTCGTGGACAGCCCCCCTGTAACCCCTGACTGACTGGCCGTAGGGAGGGCCCGAAGCTTGCTGGTGAGAACAGGGAGGAGGGCGGAAGAGGGTGTGTAGGAGGAAGGCGAACAGAAGAAGGAGAAAGAGACCACCACCAGAGAGAGGGGGGTGGAGGTTCCCGGAGGCCGAGGAGGAGGAGGAGAAAGAGGAGAAGAGATAAAAACGGGGAGAAGAGGCTTCTGGGCGCCTGTATGGTCTGGGGCTTCTTTGGGGCTGCTATCGTGGAGGTCCCCCCTGTCACTCCTAATCGACCGAAGGGGTTTTTGGGGGGAAGTTTGCTGGCGTGGCGTGCGCAGGGAGGTAGGAGTAGAGGGCGAAATGAGGTAACTGAGAGGAAGAAAAGAAGAACGGTACCGGAGGGAGGGCGCCCATGGGAGTGGGAGGAGGAGGAGGAGGAGGAGGAGGAGGAGGAGGAGGAGGAGGAGGAGGGGAAAGGAGGAGGAGGAGGAGGAGGACGAGGAGGGGAAGGGAGGAGGAGGAGGAAGGAGGAGAAGGAGGAGGAGGAGGAGGAGGAGGAGGAGGAGGAGGAGGAGGAGGAGGAGGAGGAGAGGAGGAGGAGAGAGAGGAGGAGGAGGAGGAGGAGGAGAGGGAGGGGGAGGAGGAGGAGGAGGAGGGAGGAGGGAGGAGGCGGATGATGATAGTGATGATGTTGATGATGATGATGTGATGAGATGAGAGGAGGAGGAGGAGGAGGAGGAGGAGGAGGAGGAGGAGGAGGAGGAGGATGGAAGAGGAGGAGGAGGAGGGGAGGAGGAGGAGCAGGATGAGGAGGATGGGGAGGAGGAGGAGAGGCGGAGGAGGAGGGGAGGAGAGGAGAGGAGGAGGAGGAGGAGGAGGAGGAGGAGGAGGAGGAGCAGGAGCAGGAGGAGGACGAGAAAGAGGAGCATGGGGAGGAGGAGGACGATGAAGAGGAGGAGGAGGAGGAGGAGGAGCAGGAGCAGGAGGAGGACGAGAAAGAGGAGCATGGGGAGGAGGAGGACGATGAAGAGGAGGAGGAGGAGGAGGAGGAGGAGGAGGAGGAGGAGGAGGAGGGAGGAGGAGAGGAGGAGGAGGAGAAGGATGATGATGACGATGATGATGATGATGATGATGATGATGATGATGATGATGATGCTGATGCTGATGCTGATGCCACTGATGCTGATGCTGATGCTGATGACGATGCTGATGATGATGATGGGTGATGATGGATAATGGGTGATGGATGATGGATGATGGATGATGGATGGTGGATGATGATGATGATGATGATGATGATGATGATGATGATGATGATGATGATGGTGATGGTGATGATGATGATGATGCTGATGCTGATGCTGCTGATGATGATGATGATGATGATGATGATGATGATGATGATGATGATGATGATGATGATGATGATGATGATGATGATGCTGATGGGATGAGGAGAGGGGGAGGAGGAGGAGGAGGAGGAGGAGGAGGAGGAGGAAGGAGGAGGAGGAGGAGGAGGAGGAGGAGGAGGAGGAGGAGGAGGAGGAGGAGAGGAGGAGGAGAGAGGAGGAGGAGGAGGAGGAGGAGGAGCAGGATGTGAGATGAGGATGAGGAGGAGGAGGAGGAGGAGGAGGAGGACGAGGAGGACGAGGAGGACGAGGAGGGGGAGAGGGGGGGGGAGGAGGAGGAGGAGGGAGGAGGAGGAGGAGGAGGAGGAGGAGGAGGAGGAGGAGGAGGAGAGGAGGAGGAGGAGGAGGAGGAGGAGGAGGAGGAGGAGAGGACGAGGTGATGGAGGAGGAGGAGCAGGAAGAGGAGGGAGAAGGAGGAGGAGGAGGAGGTGGTGGAGCAGGAGGGGAAGAGGAGGAGGAGGAGGAGGAGGAGGAGGGGAGCAGGAGGGGAGGAGGAGAAGGAGGAGGAGGACGGTGAGGTGAAGGAGGATGAGGGTGAGGGGAGGAAGAGGAGGAGGAGGAGGAGGAGGAGGAGGAGGAGGAGGAGGAGGACAAGGAGGAGGAGGAGGAGGAGCAGGAGGAGGAGGAGGAGGAGGAGGAGGAGGAGGATGCGATACAACAACCTTGTAGTCGTCCCCGAACGGTTCACCTTGACGCAACGGTGCGCTGGGTCAGGACAAGGGCTTGACGGCGGCACTCTTGCGGCCACCTTCCTCGAGGCGATGAGGAGGAGGATGGGGGTGAGGGGGAGGAGGAGGAGGAGGAGGAGGAGGAGGAGGAGGAGGAGGAGGAGGAGGAGGAGGAGGAGGAGGGGGAGCAGGAGGGGGAGGAGTAGGAGGAGGAAGCGAAAAGATGCAGGGAGAGCGGCATTCTGGGGCGTTGTTTGGGGTTCGGGGGTTCCTTTGGGGCTTCGCGGGATCCAGAAACGGCAACATGTGCCGGGGCTTGAAGCTCTCTTGAAAGCTCCTTGGCAACTACCGGAGTCTCCTGGGGAGCTGTGGGGCATCTTCGAGTGGGGGGTCTGGGCCGTTCTTGGGGGCTTCTGAGACGTCTAAACACGACGAAATGTGCCAGGGCTGGAGGCTCTCGTGGGAGCTCCTTGGCAACTGTCGGAGTCTGTCGAAAGGCTGTAGAATATCTCGGAGTGGTCCTGCTTGAACACCTCTTGGGTCCTCTTGGATCGACTCAGAGGTCTCTTGGGCCGTCTTGGGACCATGTTGGGGCCTGGGGCCGTCCGCAAGCCCGGTTTGGGGCCCTCTCGGGCACCTCCCGGGGCCCTCCTGAGGCTGCCCAAGGGGCCACTCGAAGCTCTGAGAGGCCCTGCGTGGCCTGTTCTGGGCCGTCTTCGGGCCCTCCGAGCGCGCTCGTCGGGGCCTCCTTGGGCCGTCACGGGGGAGATCGCGGAAAAGCTTGAGCAACTAAATGTATTGCGTGTTCGCCTTATGTTTGACCTCGTGGGGCCGTCATCTGGTCCTCAGATTGTCTGTGGAGCCTCCTGGCGAGTCTTCGGGTCCTCTCGGACCGCCATGCGGCTCGCTTGGGGTTCTCTTTGGTGGTCGTCCTGCCGCCCCTTTCAAAGCATCAGGGCTGTCCTGGGTCCGGCCCGCTCGGGTCGTCCCCTGGCACGCCTTCTGGGGAGACAGACTGGCAGGCTCTTCTGTGACTTCGAGGACGGCTCCACGAATGCCCAAAGAGGGCCCCCCAGGGAGATTCCAGAGAGCTTCGAAAAGCCCCGAGGAAGGCTGATGATGGCTCCGAAGCGGTTCCCAGTGAGGGCCCCGGGCTGTCCCCCAGAACAGCTTCTGTGGGACAGCCCCGCAAGGGCCTCCTCTATGAGCTGAAGGAGGAACCAGAGAATGGCCGACGAGACCCCCAAGGGAGCTCCTAGAGAGATTTGAGGTGGCCCGCGGATGTGTCAGGAGGGCTCGAGGGCGATCGCAAAACGAGATTGTCCGATGACATTGGGCACCACCTTCACCTCCCACATCTCGCTGAGCAGAGCCAGAGCCCGCTGCCACTGCTCGCGCTTCTCGCATGCACTGATCCCAGCGCTGTAGCTGATTAGTGTAGACCCGTGGATGAACATCCACCCAGACAGGCATTCGAGCATACTTGCGTCACACACTTAGACACAGAAGGTGGTGACATAGACTCGGGAACTTTGCGCAGACTACGCTGCGGGATCGCCGCACAAACAGAGATCATGAGGCGCTTTTGTGGCCAGCTTGGGTCCTGCCCGGGGCCTGCGTGAGGCCCTCTCAGGCTCTCGTGGTGCCCTCGTGGGCCTTCTTGGCGATGCCTTGGCGTCAATGGGGGGGAGACTTTCTTCTGAGGGAAGATGGATAATTCGAGAAAGTGTAAACAACCATGCGGATCCTCAAGATGTCTGAATTCATGGAGGGTCTCCGCGGTTTCTCTCTTGGACTTGTGGAATTCCCTGGAAGTCATCACAAGGCTCCTCGGGCGTCTTGGCGCCTTCATGGAAGCCTGCTGGACCATCGCGAATAACCTGGGCTGTCTGAGAGCGTCCCCAGGGTCTCTTCGGGGCCCTCGGGTCCGTGCGGGGCTTTCTGTGGGCTGGCCGATCTGGCCCCCTCGGGGCCAGAGGGACTGCTCGTTGAACTCGCACAAGCTGCACCCGTACTGTGGAGCAGATGACGTCGGGCGGCAGTTTCGCCTCCCACATCTCGCCGAGCAGCACCAGAGCCCGCTGCCACTGTTCGCCCTTCTCGCACGCGCTGATCGCAGCGTTGTAGATGACTAGTGTGAACCCGTGGAAAATCCACGGCCCGCAGGTCCAGGCATTGGTCCCGAACGCGCACGTGTCGGAAGCACTGGAAGCGTCAAAAGTAATGTGTTTTTGCTAATCGCGCGAGGCCTGGGCGCGACTAGCAGAAACACATAAGTTTTCAGACGCAGTCAGAGTAAGGGGGCCCGAACGATCTTACAGAGTCCCTGTGCGCGAGAAGTTCGATGTGGGGGGTGGACGCGTGGGTGCCAGAGTTGGGCGCTACGTTGGGGGGCCTCGTTTGAGGGCCACGTTGGGGGGTCTCGTCAGGGTGTCATGGTTTTGGCCAACGTTCGCGGCCCTGCCGGGGGCCATGTTTGGGGGCCGCGTGCGGGGTTCGGGGGCACATGTGACGGTCGCGTTTGAGGGTGTGGGATTCGGGGGCAGATGTGACGGTCACGTTTGAGGGCAATGGTTTGGGGCTGTGTGTGTTGGGGCCACGTTTCGGGGCGCCTGGGGGCTACGCGTGGGGTTGACGTTCGGGGGCCACGCTTACCGGGGCGGTAGGGGCGACCTTCGGAGGCTTTGTTTTGGGGGCCGCCTTTGGGGGTCCCCTTTGGAGGCCGCGCGTGGGGCCGACGTGTAAGGGGCCACGTCCAGGGGCGATCTCAGAAAGCAGTCGGGGAGCCCCGGAGGCACTGACCTGGAAGCGTGAAAAGGAATGGGTTTTTGTTAATCGCGCTGGGACTGGGCGCGATCAGCAAACTCAAGGGTTTTCAGGCACCGTCAGAGTGAAGGGGCCACGTTAGCGGGCCCGCGCAGGGTGGTCCTGGGGCCATCTTGGGGTTCTCGGGCCGTCGAGATGGCCGTCTCGAGAGCTCTGGCAGATCGAAGCCAGCAGAACCGAGAGAGCAGCGGTGAGGCCCCCGATACAGCCAAGGGTGCGGGTGCTGGTATACGTAGGGCCCCCGAACTGGCTGTAGTGGCCTGCGGGCAATGTCGCTGCGGGCCTGGGTAATGGGTAAGAGATCTCGTGGATGTTGGTTGGGATCTCACGGCTGGCCTCTCGGGAGCCTCTGGGAGACAGTTTAGGGGCTTCTTGGTAGCAGTTTGGGGGCGTCTTGGGGCCTCTTGGGCCCTCTTTTGGGGCCTCTTGGCGGTCTTTGGGGGCGCTTGGCGGCCTCTGGGGGGCCTCTTGGAGCCTCTTTGGCGCGTCCTGGGGCCTCCTGGGGATGTCTTGGGAGCGTCCCGGCGTTTCTTTGGGGCGTCTTGGGGCTTCCTGGGGGCCTCTTGGGGTGGAGGCCTAAATTTTTCGGTTCCGGGTCCCTGTCTGAGGCCTCTCTTGGGGCCTTCTTGGGACCCTCTTGGGCTGTCTTGGGCGACTCCTGGGCCGTCTTGGGGCCCTCTTGGGCCGTCTTGGGGCCGTCTTGAAGGCCTCTTGGGCCGTCTCGGAACGGTCTGGGGGGCCTCTTGGGCGGTCTTGGAGCGTCGGAAAGCCGAAAACGCGAGAAGACCAGAAACATAGGAAAAAGAAAGAAAATCAACGATTTTGGCTTCTGCGGCCCCTCTTGGAGGTACACTTCGAGCGCTCTGGGGGCCTCGTGGACGCGTCCCGGGCTGTCTTGAAGGCGTCTTGAAGCCATTTTGAGCGTCTCGGATCCACTCTTGGACCGTCTTGGGCCGTCTTCGGGACCTCCTGAAGCCGTCTTGGGGCGATCTGGGAATCCTGGATCAGTCCGCCAGCGGTCCGGGGGCCTCCTGGGCCCGTCGGGCAGCGGCCCGGAGGCTCTCCAGGCGGCCCGCGAGCTCTCTGGGCGGCCCGGGGCGCTGCCACTGCCTGACCTTCTCGCGCGCGCTTCGCCCGGAATTGTAGTACAGACTAGGGCGAACCCGTGGACTTCCTCCACGACCTTCAGGTCCCCCTGGTGCGCCTCCACTGGGCGTCTCTGGGCCTGATTGGTGGTCCTTGTGGGGGTCATTTTCGGGCCATTCTGAAGCTTTTTTGGGCTGCTCTGGGAGCGTTTTGAAACGTCTTGGGGTCATCTTGGGCCGTCACGGGGCGTCCGGGAGGCCTTGGACCGTCTTGGAGCTCTCTTGAGGCTGCCTGAGGCCGTCTTTGGAGCCTCTTGGGGCCCCCTCGGAGCTCTCTTGGGGCCGTCTTGTGCCTCTTGGGGTTCTGTGAGGCTGTTTCAGGGTTCTCTGGCGTCGTCTTGGGGCTCTTGTGGGCCGTCGTCTTCTTGGGGCGATTTGGGAGCTTGGCCTGAGGAGCACACCAAGGCGGGCATGCCGAACATACACGCTTTCCTGAGGGAATTTGGCGATCTGTGCCTCCTGGGCGTGCGCTCGGGGCCCTCTTGGGGCGTCTTTGCGGCCTCTTGGATCGTCGTGGAGCCCCCCCCGGAAGGCTTCGGGCCCTCGTGGGCCGTCTCGGGACCCACTGAGGCCGTCTTGGAGCGCTCTTGGACGGTCTGGGAACTCCTCTGGAGCGCCTCTGGGACCGGCCTGAGCGATTCGGCCCCGTAGTGGCGCCGTAAAGGGGCGATTTTGTGCACACGAGGCCCTGAGAGATTCTCGCACGCGCTTCCACTGGCGCCGCCAGGCGATCAAGATAACCCCAAAGGGTCTTTAATAACCCCCAGGCAATAATGGGAAAATGAATCATTTGTCAGCCGGCTTATTGACGGATTGGGACCCCGACAATAGTTGGAAATTAATTATTCTCGTCGGCGGATGCATGAGAGGTCATGAGAAGTGCTCAAAAATCCCATCGCTCAACGCCCGGCGGCCTCCTCCTCCTCCTCCTCCTCCTCCTCCTGCTCCTGCTCCTCCTCCTCCTCCTCCTCCTCCTCCTCCTCCTCCTCCTCCTCCTCCTCCTCCTCTCCGACACACCACCGTCACCGCTGCTGCGCGCACTGGAACATGAGGAGACGGGGGGGAAGGAGGAGGGAGGGGAAGGAGGAGGAGGATCGAGGAGGGACGAGTTTCTATTCCCCGCCGAGAGCTTAGGGGCGGGCATCATTAAAGACCCTCTGCGGTTCGATTGCGTCATGTTCGCGTCTCGGGGGCGGTTTTGGGAGTGTCTTGTGGCCTCTCGAGGGTCTCCTGGGACCTGATTCGGGCCTCTCGGGGGGGCCTTCGGGAGCGTCTGGGGGGCCTCTTGGGGGCCAGCTGGCGATTCCTGGGATCATCCTGGAGAGGAGGGTGCGAAAGGTCAGTTCGAGGTCCCCCTGGTGGTGCCCTCTTGGGGCCGTCTTGGGCCGTCGTGGAGCCCTCTTGGGCCGTCGTAGGGCCCTCTTGGGCTGCTGTCTGGGAGCTCTCTCGGAGGCCTCTTGGGCCACCTTGGCGCGATCGTGGGAGCTCTGGGGCGGGCTTGGGACGCGGAGGCTCCGAATAGGCGAGGAATTCAGACCTGAGCCTTTGCAAATGAGGAGAGAACATAAGAGGCGCATGGGCGCCTTATTTCTGTGTGGCCAGCGCGGTCCCACCTCGAAAGCCTTCTTGGGAGCCCTAGAGCCGGCTTGGGGCGTGGAGGCTCCGAAGAGGCGAGAAATTCGCACGGGAGCCTTTTGCAGAGGAGGGGAGAAAGTATAAGGCGCATGGGCGCCTGATTTTCCTGGGTGGCCAGCGCGGTCCCAGAGCCCGCTGCGGGACCTTCTCTCGGAAGCCTCTTGGAGGCGGTTTTGTGGGTGTCCTGTGGCCTCTCGAGGGTCCCCTGGGACCTGATTCGGGCCTCTCGGGGGGGCCTCCGGGAGCGTCTGGGGGGCCTCTTGGGGGCCAGCTGGCGGTTTCTGAGATCACCCCAGAGCGGAAGGCGTGAAATGTCAGTTGGAGTTCCCCCTCGTGGGGCCCTCTTTGGACCGTCTTGGGGGCCTCTTCGGCCGTCTCGGGGTCCTCTTGGGCTGTCTGGGAGCTCTCTTGGAGGCCTCTTGAGCCATCTTGGCCTGTTCTTGGGGGCCCTGGAACCCGCTCGGAGCGTCGAGACTCCGAAACGGCGATAGCGCTGAGATCCTTCGAAAACCCAAGGGCAATCAATCATCTTGGCCTCTCGGGGCCCTTTTGTGCGGCCTCTTGGAGCCCTTTTGGGCCGTCTTCCGGCATTGTGGGGCCGTCTCAAAGCCATATTGGAGACCTCTCGGACCGTCTGGAGGCGTCTCGGGCCGTCTTGGGGCCCTCAGAAGCCGTGCTGACCCCCCAGAGCCGACCGGGGCCATTTTTGACCACATTGATCCCCCACCTTTCTGGCACGTGGTTCCCCCGGCGTTGTAGTATAAACTAGGGCGGGCCTGTGGACAACGTCCACGTCAGCTGCATGAACGGGCATGTGATTGTGGACATGCTACCAAAAGGCTGATATGGTATGAAATGGTGATGTGGGGCTCGACCCTCGCATTCCGCGCACGCTACTGCGTGCTGCTGCTTGCTGCTGCTGTTGCGTGCTGTTGGCAATGCTCGCTTCAACTGCGTGTTGTTGCTGCTAGTGGCCGCAGGGTACCGTCGATGGTCAACTCTGCTCAGTGCGGCGTGTGCTGCCGGCTGCCTGCTGCTGCTTGCGCCTGTTGTGCGCTGTCGGTGCTGCTGCCTGCTTCGTGCTGCGTTCTGTTGCCGTTTGCTGCTGCTGCTGCTGCTGCTGCTTGATGCTGCAGGGTCCTGTTTCTTGCACCTTCAGCTTGCTGGCACAACCTGCTGCCAAGAGAGGATCGAGGAGTCAGGACCGAGGCGATCGACGAGATTGAAGAGGAAGCGGCGAGAAGCGAAGAACGATCAGCGAAGAGCGAGGCCCTGGAATAGGACGTTAAAGTTCTGGGTCGAGGGTTGAAATTCGAGGAGGTTCGTCATCCTTTGACACCTCTGGGGGCTGCTTTCGGGATCCGGGACCTTCAAACATTGATCTAGGGTGAGAGACCATTCCAGACAGACCCACCCCAGGATCTGGGGGCCGATTCCTCTGGGATTTTGTGGATTTGCAAGGGGTGTTGGGTTGGAGGCGAAGAGTCGATGTCTGGAAGCTCTAGGTGTCAGCGTTCGTCCGACGGAGCGTCGGTGGTAGGCGCTTTTTGCGCCACTGGTCGCTCCTGGGAATTTTGGCGATGAGAGCTTCGGGTCGATCATCGTTCGTTCTTGGGAGCCGCGGAGTGCAGGATTTTTAATGTCAGTCTAATATTCTTGGGGCCCGCGTCGGAGCGTCCAGCGGCCCTCTTGAGCCATTTGGGGTCCGCTTTGGGCCGTCTGGGGGGCCTCTTGGGCCGTCTGTGCGCCATGTTGTGCGTCTTGGACCATCTTGTAGCCCTCCGTTGGCCCTCTTGGGAGGCTCTTGGCGCCCTTGTGGGGTCCCCTTGGGGCGTCCCGGAGTCGTAGGTCGCCTCGCGGGGCTTCTTGGACCGCCTTGGGCCGTTTTTGGCCCGAAATGGCGCGAACCTGGAAGTCCTTGGAAAACACGTAAACATTCATGTTTTAGGTCTCCTCGTGACGTCGTCTGGATCCTGTGGGGCCGTCTTGTGCTGTCTTGGGAGCATCCTTTCCTGTGGTCTGGCCATCTGGAAGCACTTCTGACCGTCGATGAACCGTCTTGGCGACATCTTGGGCCGTCTGGGGGCCCCCTGGGGGCTGTCAGAATGAGCGAATGTTGGTTACTTGACGCCCCCCCCCTTCTGGCACGCGCTCCCGGCCGTATAGATTACTGGCTACCTATATCACAAACATGGGTACGCAGAGTGACGGCGCATCGATATCATCTGTCGGGAGACACTTGGAGAAATCGCGAGAAACTGGAGACGCTGGAGAGAAGCCAGGGAAGACCGCGGAGGCCTGAGAGCGGAGCTTGGGCAGCCATTGGGCGTTGGGCACGTTCATGCGGAGTCTCGCGCGGGCACTGCTGCTCAATGCAGTGTGGTGCCTGCGCTGTTGCTTGCTGTTGGAGGTCGTCCGTGGGTCGTCTTCGAGGTGCGTCGGGCCACGACGAGGCCGTGTGAGGCCCTACCGAAGTGAGCCTGAACCCGCACGCAGAGGAAGCCAAACATCTAAGCATCTGAGGGTGTTCGAAGATCTGCTGCCTCTGACGCCTCTCGCGGAGCGTCTTGAGGCATTCCTCGGAGGCTCTCGTGCACGTCGTGGTCGTGACGCCACTTGGGGGATCTCGGGCGCAATTGCAAGAGCCTGGGGGAGACCCACCTCAGCCGAGTAGAAAACGTCAGGGGAGCTTCGGAGCGCCGCGATCGGCGGCGTGGCCCGAGTGCAGCCGCCCACGCGGCGCCGGACTGGCTCGATCGCGCGACTCCTGCCCACGTAGACCTGATGACCTGGGATTCCAGCTTCGCCTCCCGCAGCTCGCTCAGCAGCGCCAGAGCTGGCTGCCACTGCTCGCCCTTCTCGCACGCGCTGATACCGGAGCTGTAGCTGAAGGCGTTGGGCTTCACCTTTGCCACGCACATCTCGCTGAGCAGCGCCAGAGCCTGCTGCCACTGATTGCCCTTTTCGCACGCGCTGATCGCAGCGCTGTAGCCGACTAGGGCTAACAAGTGGACTTGCGTCCACGGCAGCTTACACGCATGCAAAGATGAATGTCGCTCGCCTGGCTGCAAGCCTGCTGGCAGACCCGTTTTATCCCCGCACGTTCCCTGTTTGCACACTGGCTGGCTGATTTGATGTCATATGTGGCTGCTTGCCGGTTCGCTTGCTTCGTCGATTGCTCGTCCACTCGTTGCCGCTGCCTGCCGTTCGGCTGGTTGCTGCTGCTCGGAGCTTCTGCTGCTGCTGCCGCCTGCTTGCTGGTGCGGACTGCTGCTGTCTGCGGCTTGTTGCGGCAGCTTGCCTTTTGAGAGCTGTTTTTCCCCATATCCTAAGATGGGGTTCTTGTTATTACTTGGACGCCTCCTACTCCTCCTCCTTCCTCCTCCTCTTTTCTCCTCCCCTCCTGTCGGACATACTCAGACTTGCTCATACTCAGACTTGCTCATACACAGACTTACTCATACTCAGACTTACTCATACTCAGACCTACTCATACTCAGACTTACTCACACTCAGACATACTCATATACAGACTTACTCATACACAGACTTACTCATACACAGTATTAGTCATACCCAGACGTACACATACACAGACTTACTCATACACAGACTTACTCATACTCAGCACCCCTAAGGGGAGCCGCCAGGGGTGGTTGCACGGGCTCGTTCGCGGCCATTTTGTGGGGATGTCTCAGGCGGTTTGCCTGTTTCTGTGCCCAACATCCTTCGCTTTCGGAGCAGATTTGGAGGATGTCTCGAGCGAGGCGCTCATTTCAGCACCCCTAAGGGGAGCCGCCAGGGGTGGTTGCACGGGCTCGTTCGCGGCCATTTTGTGGGGATGTCTCAGGCGGTTTGCCTGTTTCTGTGCCCAACATCCTTCGCTTTCGGAGCAGATTTGGAGGATGTCTCGAGCGAGGCGCTCATTTCAGCACCCCTAAGGGGAGCCGCCAGGGGTGGTTGCACGGGCTCGTTCGCGGCCATTTTGTGGGGATGTCTCAGGCGGTTTGCTGTTTCTGGGCCCAACATCCTTCGCTTTCGGAGCAGATTTGGAGGATGTCTCGAGCGAGGCGCTCATTTTCACCCCCCAGGTGGGCCAGATTTTGAGGATGTCTCGATCGGTTTGCTTGTTTTGGTGGCCAGGCTCGTGGGCGCAGATTCTTCTCAGGATGCCACAGGAGGCTCCAACAGGCTCCAGGAGGCCCCAGGAGACCACATGAGGTCCCAGGAGGCATCAGGAGGCCACAGAAAGACTCAAGAGGCCACAGGATGTCCCAAGAGGCTCCAGGAGGCCCCAGGAAGCTCCAGAAGGCCTCAGGAAACCACAGGAGACCCCAGGAGGCAACAGGAAGCGCCAGGAGGCCTCGGAAGGCAACAGGAGGCCCCGAGAGGCCCCAGGAGCAGGAGGCCTCAGAAGGCAACAGGAGTGGCTCCAATCCCATGTGTTTTACGTATGCTCCTATCGATTGGGCCTCACCTGGAGCACGATTCTTTGATGTTCTACGTATGTTTCTATAGATGGTCCTTCTCCTGTGTACACAATCCTAAATGTTTTACTCATGTTCCTATGTATTGGGCCTCTCCTGGGGCACGAGTCCTTGGTGTTTTACGCGTGTTCCTATAGATTGCCCTTCTCCTGTGGCTCTAATCCGCAATGTTTTATGTACGTCTGTTGCTATAGATTGCGCCTCTCCTGGGGCACGAAACCTTCCTAGGAGGTCCCAGGAGGTCCCAAGAGGCTCCTGGAGACCCCAGGAAGCCCCAGTAGGTTTCAGGAGGCCCCAGGAGGCCCCAGGCTCATGCACAGAGACGCGCTCGTACTACTGAGGCTCATTCACACTCCAATTCATTCGCAGTTAGATTGATGTCCAGACCGTCACAACTGAAGCCCGTTAATATTCGAAAGCTCTTGCGCCTAGACATTCACGGCGGACAGGTCCATGCGAGTATATGCACATATGGGGAGCTCCACGCAGTGAATAAGTTTTCCTGCGTGCTGCCGCTGTTAGCTGTTTCTTGCCTCTGCTGAACTTTTCAGGCGGCTGCTGATGGCTGCTGCTAGTTCTGCTTGCCTGCTTGCGTGCTGTCCTGCTTGCAGGCCTTCTAGCATGCTGGTCCGACAGCTTGCTGGTCTGTTTGCATGACAACCCGCTGGCTTTCTCGCGTGCTCGCTGCGCCTATTCTCTACCCGCTCGCTGCCGCTTGCCGTTGTGCTATGTTGCCTGCTTGTGCTTGCTGTTCTTTGCCATGCCGTGGTTATGATGCCGCCAGTTGACTGGTGCGGGCTGCTGCTTGCTGCGGCTTGGTGTTGCTGCTTGCTGTTGCTTGGTTCTGGTTGTTGCTGCTTTCTGGCCGTCTGCTGTGCTCCTGCTACTCGCTGCTGCTGCTAACTGTTGCAGGATGTTGCTTCCTGTTGGCTGCTGGGGCTGCTCGTTGGTGCTGTCTGCTACTGTTGGTTGTTGCTGCTGCTTGCTACTGCAACTCGATGTTGCCTGCTGCGTCTGTTTTCAGCTGTTGCCTGCTGCAGATTTCTGCTGCTCTTAGCTGCTGCTGCTGGCTTTTCTGCTGCTGGATCTGGGGGCCGAGCTGTGACACTCTGGGGCGCTAGCGGGTCTTGGGGCCAACTTGGGGCAGTCCTGGACCCCAGATCTCGTGGGCCTTTCAGGCCGTTGCGGCGCCAACTAGAGGCCCGGGCCGACTGAGAACTGTCCGACACCGTCCCGGGCCTTCCAGGATCCCCCTGAGCTGTTCCTGGGGCTCTCTTGGCGCTGTCTTGGTTGTTTTCGAGGCGCGTCGGGCACTCGGGGGCCATGTGAGGCACTGCTGGATTCAGGTAGACACCAGGAAGTCTCGAGAAGCCCAACATATTGTACAGCACATTGGTGTTGGACGATGCGTCTGGTCTGCAGCCCCTTTCGGGCCTGCCTGGGTGTATGGGAGGGTCTCCTGTGCTTCTCCAATGCAGTCAGGCGTCCTCCGAACCACTGGGGGATGATGATAATGATGAGATAATGGGGGGAGATGATGATGATGACTATTATCATGACCATGATGGTGCTGATGATGATGCTGATGCTGATGCTGTTGATGATGATGATGTTGATGGTATGATGGTGATGATGATGATGATGATGATGATGATGACGAAGATGGCGATGCTGGTGATGATGACGAGGAGGGGGAGGAGGAGCAGGAGCAGGATCAGGACCAGGAGGAGGAAGAGGGACTAGAAGAAGGAGGAGCAGGAGGAGAGAAGGATGGCGGAAGAGGAACGGTAAGGGCCGAGGAGGAGGGGAAATGAGGAGGGGAGGAGTAATTAGGGGAGAAGGAAGAGGCGAACACTGTAAGCCCAAGACGCCTCAATGATGTTGCAATAACTTCTCCCTCCAATCTCTATTTATGAGTCCATACAAGAATTCATTTTCGTTGCGACAACTGCCCTCTTTGAAGACAGCCGTCTGGACAACCTCAATCGTGCCAGGACGCAATTTCTGGGACTCGAACGCCGCGAATCAATGTGTGCGCGCCCTGACAATCCCAAGCCGTGCCAGAACGCCATTCCTGGGGATACCAACACCGCGAATCAACGTGACTTCTGCGTCCGAACAATCCGAAATCGAGCCAGCCCACCATTCCTATGACACGAACGCTTGAAACTGCTGCAAGCTTTCAGAACAAATGCGCGCGCTGAGGCGAGAACTACCTTTTGAAAAGGAGCCGCCCTCCATCCTTGGCACTGTTGCAAACTGTTGAAGCCATCGTGCACGGGGCAAAGGCGACAACCACATTTTGAAAACGAGGCTCCCTCTATCCCTGAAGCGTCGCAAACTTAAAAAAAAACGAATGCGCGCGGCACTAAGGCAAGCCCCACAATTTGAAAACCACCCTCCCTCCATCCCTGAAGCTGTTGCACTTTTCAATCTTCCAATTATACAAGGTGAGGAAATCTCAGGCGAAACGCCCAGCCCGCCCTACCGACACGTCGGTGCGCGACAGGGTGGAACTATTCACAAGGAGGATGGAGGAGGAAGGGGAGAGGAGGATCGATGCCCTAACGACCCCCAGTGATTACATTGGACGCATCTTGGCGCCACTCAGGGTCCCTCGGGCGCAAGCACAGATCGCCCGGGGTCGGTCCTGGACCGAGGGGAGGCGACCTTCGGAGGCATCTGGACGCCCATGGCGGCGTCGCCCCCGAGCGGGGCTGCCGAGGACACGCCACCCAGGGCCGGGCCGAAGTGAAACAGTCTGACATTCTCGCGCGCGGATTGCCTGGTATTGTTCACAGAATCTGCCCGATCTGGATGCCGTGCTGGCGGGCTCTGTGGCCATGTGGAGGAAGGACCTCTTGGGGACGTCCTGGGCCGTCTCGGAGCTATCCGGGGGCCTGTTGGGCCGTCGTGGCGCTCTCTGGGGGGCCTGTCGGGCCGTCAGGGAGTTCTTCGAGGCCGCCCTCGGCGATCTGGGAGCCCTTGTAGCTGATGACGTGGGGCTCCAGCTTCGCCTTACGTATCTCGCCGATCAGCGTCAAAGCCCGCAGCCATTGCCGGCCCTTCTCGCACGCGCTGATCCCAGCGTTGTAGCTGACTAGGGTGCACCAGTAGACTTCGTCCACAACGTCTAGCCAGAGTGGCATGAATGGTCCCTCGGGGTCAGCGCGTCTTGCTGCGGGGCTGCTGCTGCCCACCGGTGTTGCGGCTTGGTGCCGCTGGATCCTCTTCCTGCTCCTCCTCCTCTCCTTCTCCTCCTCCTCCTCCTCCTGCTCCTCCTCCTCTGCTGGGTTCTCCTCCTCCGCCTCCTCCTCCTACTTCTGCTCCTACTCGTCCTTCCCTCGATCCCTCACCCCCTCGATCTTCGATCGTCAATTGCCCATCCTACGACAGCGCCCCCCCATACAAGCATCCGTGGCGTCCTGAGCGTCACAAGCGGCTCCTTTGGGCCTGCGAGGAACCTCTCGCCTCTCGTCGGCCCCCCCCCCATCCTGGAGGCAGTTCTGACGCCTCTTGGAGCCCCTTGGGAGCCATTGTGGAGCCTTTTGGGCCTCTTTCGAGTTTCTTGGGGGCCTCTTGGAGCTCTTTCAGCCGTCTTGGGCGTTTCTTGGGCCATCTCGGGGCCGTCTTCGGCTCTTGGGCCGTCTTGGGGCAATCTTGTGGGCATTTGGGGCTGCTTGGACGCCGTGCATGCTAACTAAACGGAAGGGCTAAACACGCACGCTTTCCCACAATGGATTTTGCCGCAGGTGTTCTTGGAGCACTCCTGGGGCGTCTTGGAGACCCTCTTAGCCTCCACAGGCGCCGCGGCACGGGCGGATGGGGGGCTCCCTGGGCGCCCCGAGGGCCTCTCCGGGGCCTGCAGAGGCGATTTTGTTGTGGCTACCCGAGGCCGTATCCTTCCAGCACGCGCGTTCCTTCGCCATATAGTAATGACTGGGGCACGTCCACGATCTCTTCATGAGCTGGCGGGCATGTTGCTGAACGGCTGAAAGCGCCACGTGGGGCTCGAACTTCGCAGTGCTCGCCTACTAATGCGTGCTGACGAGTGCTTCTGCTGTTGCGTACTGTTGCTGATGCTTGCCGCAACAGCTTGCTAATGTAGTGTGAGGCTGCAGGTTGCTGCTCACTAATACTGTCCACAACCAGGATAACGAGGCGACAGACGCTTTTGCAAGGTTCTTCGAATGAGCCTGGAACGGAGCACCTGGCAAGCTTGACGCGGCACACGTTTTGGGCAACAATTAGCCATGGCCCTCCGGGACACGCTGCAAGTTCAGGCAAGGCGCTGCGAGGTGTCCTGCCGGAAGCTGGAACGAGCTCCAGGGCTACCCTGCGGTACAAGCTTCTAATCTCGCAACCCTTTTGGCTCTACAAGGAACTAACCGGGAATGGCCTGCTGCGGGCTGATGCCCGCTGCCTGCTGCTGCTTGCTGTGTGCTGCCGCTGCTGCTCCCTGCCTCGTGCTTCGTGCTGCTGCGGCTGCTCGCTCAATGCTGCTTGATGCTGCAGGCTGCTGCTCCTGGCTGCTCCAGCTACAGTCAATTCAGATAATAAGGATGCGCGGTAAGAATGCAAGGGCCGTGGAAGGTCATGTTGACGTTTTTCGACTGGGGCTGGCCAGCGAAAGCGGCCAAGGATGGGCCGAAGGGGAAGGATGCAAGGGTAACCTTGTAAAGTTGCTCATCCTTACTATGCGGGTTGACCATCGCCAACTCATAATGCTGCCTGTGAGAGGAGCAATGATTATGCTGCTCCCATCGTACTTGAGGACCACATGCCAGAAATCCGTTTGAGCGCCCAGGAAAATATCGAACCAATGTCTGCCCGACACGCCAGCGAAGCGTCGATTGAGTACAATCGGACCTGGACCAGAAGACCATACCTCAAGAACAAGAGACCCTCCGTCGGCCAAAACACGCAGAACATCCAAGGGTTCCCTCCCCCAGGATGCACAACAACATCAAACACATACAAAGAACACTAGGGTACCTTTCCCGAACCGACGTCGATCTTACACCTCGGTCCGACCGTATCGTCTCCCCAGGGCCCGACAGGTGAAAACCCTCCAATTTCGGTATCTTCTTGGTGCTCGACAACCTTTCGGTTGGTCAAGGCCAAGGTAAGTTGGAAGATCATACAGGGAGGAGCGAGGATATCCGGGAGGAAGCGGGAGAAACGAGGAGCGATCCTCGAAGCGAGAGGAGCGAGAAAAGAGGAGCGGCAGCCGAGGAGAGAGGAGGTACGAAGGAGAACCGAGGATGCAGGAGGCGGGATGGGAGGAGGGAGGCGTGAGTACGGTAGGCGGAAGGTTCGGGGGGCGTCGGCACGCGCAAAATGTTTTGGCACCGCGTGTACCCCATCGGGTCCAGCGGCATCAGCGTGTCCCTCGGCGCTTCCGCGTCGCAATGTTCAACCTTGCATGGCTTCGCCGGGGTCGTCGGCGCGCCAACGCCGCATGGACCTACCGTAGCCAAGAGAAAGGAGCGAGGAGCCTGTAGAGAGGATCAAGGAGAGAGGAGAAGTGATAATAGCGGAGGCCAGTGGGTAATGAGAGGTGAGCGAGGGGTGCGGGGCAGTGGGCGAGGAGCACGAAGTGAGAATACATGTTTCAGGAGCGGCCACCACACAGTGGCTCAGAAGGAGGAGCGAAGGGCTGGGAGAGTGGAGCGAGGAGGAGTGAAACGAGAGGAGACGGAGCGAGGCGAGGTGGGCCAAAGAGGGAGAAGCCACTGGCGAGGAGCGAGGAGCGAGGGGCAGAGAGCGAGGAGGGAGGCATTGAGGAGCAGCATCCACACGAGTCTCCCCATGGCCTCGACGCGCTTGGGGCCTTCTTGGAGCCATCCTTGGGGCTTGTCGGACCTGATTTGGGGCTGCATGGAGCGTGTCTTCGTGCCGTGCTGGGCCCGTCCTGGAGCTCCCTGTGGGCCTCCTGGGCCGTAGTGGCGCCCTCTGGAAGACCGCCGAGGCTGTCGTGGGCCCTCTCGGACCCTTCCGGGGCCGTCCGTGGAGGCGCGTCGGGGCACTCCGAGGTCATGTGAGGCACTGCTGGGGTGCTGAGGAGCTGGGGCAGCGAAGAAGGACAGAGAAAGCGAGGGAGCGAGACACACGAAAACAAAGAAAGAGAGACAGGCGTGAGCGTTCAAAGGTGCACTGGCAAGATCGCACAACAATCCGTTCAACTATAATTCTAGCGGCTCTGATGTGGAACAGGGGTGGAACTACGCACATGCAAATACGCTTCTTTCTGCGTCCCTGTAGATCCTGAAGCACACCTGCAAGCTCCCGCAGAGCCATGGCAGGCAGGAACCAAATGCGAGAGGTAAGGGTGGACTGGAAAGGTTTAATCAAGCCGGGGAACCGAAGCGCATATAAACAACTCATGCTTTGGGGCGACTTGTCTGGTCTGTATCCTCTCTCGGGCCTGTCTAGGAGTGTCTCGTGCGCGTCCTGGAGCTTCTGGGGGGGACCTGCGGCAGAGCGCGAGGCCGCTGAGGTCGGTCTGGGGCCGAGTGGAGGCGACCTGGGAGGCGCCTGGGCGCCCAGGAGGACGGAGTCGACCCAGAAGAGCAGCCGCCGCCCAGGGCCAGGCTGTCTGCACTCAACGGGCCCTTCTCGCAGCGGATCCCCCAGTATTGTAAGATAGATGACGTTGGGCTCCACCTTCGCCTTCCACATCTCACTGAGGAGCGCCAGAGCTTTCTGCCATTGCTCACCTTTCTCGCATGCGCTGATGCCAGCGCTGTAGCTGACTAGTGTGCACCCATGGAACATACACGAGGGTCGAAGTTTGGGCCCCGAACGGGCAGATGTCGCCGTCGCGAGCAGAAGAATGAGAGGGAGAGCGGCACCAGAGAGAGGGGGGTGGAAGCTCCCAGAGGCAGAGGGTGCGGAGAAAGAACGGGGAGAAGAGCTTTCTGGAGCCTTGTGTGAGGTCTGGGCCTTTCTTTGGGGCAGCTGGTGTGGAGGTCTTGCTGGTGTGTGCAGGGAGGACGGCGAGCAGAAGGATAGCGACACTGGAGAGAGGGGCGTGGAAACACCAAAGAGAAGGAGGAGGAAGAGGAGGAGGAGCAGTAGGAGGAGGAGGAGGAGGAGGAGGATGAGAAGGAGGAGGAGGAGGAGGAGGAGGAGGAGCAGTATGAGGAGGAGGAGGAGGAGGAGTTTAAACATTAAGAGGGGCTTTCTGGGGGGTTGTTTGGGGTTCGGAATTTTCTTCGGGGCTTTTTGGGTGGCCCTGAAACGGCACATGATGCCGGGGTTTGGGGCTCTCGTGGGAGCTCCTTGGCAACTATCCGAGTCTCTTCGGGGGGTTGCGGGGCATCAAGGACAGGTCTGGCGCCCTGGTGGGGTCTTGGACTTTCTTTGGGACTTCCGAGAATTCAGATACGGCGAAATGCGTTGGGGCTGGAGGCTCTCTTGGAAGCTCCGTAGCAACTGTCGGAGTCTCTTGGGAGGCTGTAGAGCGTCTCGGAGTGGTCATTCTTGGACAACTCTTGGGGACCTCTTGGGTTTTCTGGAAAATCAGAAACGGCGAACGGGGTTGGGGCTGGAGGCTCTCTTGGAAGCCCCGTGGCAACTGTCGGAGTCTGTTGTGGAGGCTCTGGAGCACCTCGGGGTAATTCTTCTTGAGCCGCGGAGCCCACGAGGGGGTCACTTTGAGGCCTTCTTCGGTCATTTTGGGACCCTCTTGGGCCGTCTCAGGGGCCTTCTGGGCCATCTTGCGGCCAAGGTGGGGTCTGGGGCTATCTGGGAATCCGGTTCGGGCCCTCGTGGGCAGCTCCTGGTGCGCCTTGGGCGGCCAATCGAAGATCTATTAGGCCGTCTGGGGCCTGTCTTGGGCCAGGTTGGGGCCCTCTTCGGCTGTCTTCGCGCGCTTGTCGGCGCCTTTGGGACCATCTTGGGGCGATCGTAGAAATGCCTGGGGCCGCGTGGGGCCGTTCTGGCCCGCCATTGGGAGAATCCGAAAGGACAATGGACAATATATTTTGTTAGCATGATTTTTGAGTTCGTGGGGCCGTCATCGGGGTCCTCGTGGGCCCTCTTGGGCCGTCCTGGGGGCGCTGAAGACCATCTTGGGGCCAAATCGGGGAGGGCATG